CACAACCTGGTGGGTAACCTGGTAGTAGGGACAGGAAGGGTCCAGACATGTCTACAGACACCTGAGTCCCATGAGGTGTAATACTCTGTGGCCCCAGTAAAGGGGGACTGAGTAGCGGCCCCAGTGAGGGGACAGAACAGTGGCCCCAATAAGGGACAGAATAGTAGAGGGTATAGTAGGCCATGCAGAGTAGGGTTTGCAGGGGCAGCCTGAAGGGCTCTGCATGATGGTGCAGAGTAGGGTCTGCATAGGCGGGTTTGAAGGGCTGCACGGGGGCATGTAGAGTAGGGTCATAGATTCATAGATTGTTAGGGGCTGGAAGGGACCTCAAAGATCATCAGGTCCAGCCCCCCTGCTCTAGACAGGAAGACAACTGGGCTTAGGTGACTCTTGTCTTCTCTTGAAAACCTCCAGGGTAGGTGACTGTACCACCTCTGGAGTGAGTTTATTCCACACCCTGGACACCCTGACTGTGTAGGAATTTTTCCTTGTATTAAGCCTGAAGCGGCCTTCCAGGAGTTTATATCTATTGGTCCTCGTCTTCCCCAGGGGTGCCCTAGTGAACAGTTGTTCAGTGAGCTCCTGATGCACTCCTCTGATATAGCGGTAAGCCGCTATCAAGTCCCTTCTCAACCATCTCTTTTTTAGGCTAAAGAGGCCCAGGTCCCTCAGCCTTTCCTTGTATGGCTTGCCTTGCAAGTTCCTGATCATACGGGTGGCTCTTTTCTGGACCCTCTCAACTTCTTCCACATCTTTATTGAAGTGTGGCACCCAGAACTGGACACAATACTCCAACTGCAGTCTCACCAGCGCTGAGTACAGCGGGAGTATCACTTCCTTAGTTTTACATGAGATGCATCGATTGATGCATGTCAGCGTGTTGTTTGTCCTGCTGGCCAATGCATTGCACTGATGGCAGCAGGAATATCGCTTCCTTAGTTTTACAGGAGATGCATCGGTTGATGCGTGCCAGTGTGTTATTTGTCCTGCTGGCCACCATATCGCACTGATAGCTCATGTTCATGCGATGGTCAGTTATTACCCCGAGGTCCCTTTTGGCCATGGTGCAAGTCAGGCTGTCCCCTCCAAGCCTCTATGTATGTTGAGGGTTATTTGCCTCCAAATGGAGCACCTTACACTTGGAAGTATTAAACTTTATCTGATTCCAGTCTGCCCAACTCTCTAGCCTGTCCGGGTCCACGCTGTGTCTGCAACCTATCTTCTGGCATGGCCACACTGCCCCATAACTTGGGGGTCTTTGTGGCCTGAAGGACTGCGCACAGACCGGCCCCAGTAGTAAGATAACATGAGTAGAGGCCCTAGTGAAAGGGCATAAGTGGAGGCCCAAGCATGTTGGAGGATGCCTGAGGCTGAGTTTGTACTTTGGATGCCATCTGCGAGGCATGGGACACGGTATAAGGGAAGGTTCAGAGCCGTGTATAATGCCCTAAGAATTAGGGCATCAAATGGGCAGCCTCCTGCATTTTCTTTTATATGTCTTTTTTATACATCAAGGCATGACAGGAAAGACAAGTCAGACTGCCCTAGACAGGTGGGCAGGCCGACATTGTGATGATCCTTGTGACTTCCCTCTGTCACACCAAAGACAAACATAACAGCTATCTGTTTGAGATGGTTTATGAAAAGTGAATCCTGCATTTATGCAGGCAGTTGGACTAGATAACCCTTCCACTCTATGATTCTATTATTCAAAAACTCACTCTGCTTTTATTAAGATCTCATTGGTGTTTTTTCAGTCATCTTAGCTTCCCTGATGCCTTCTCTAACTGGTCCTCTCTTATTTATGCTCCTTTTCTTCAACTCCCCATCCCCCCAAGGAACAGCTACAATCAACTCAACGCTTTGCCCTAGGTGGCATGTCTATACTTGCATTAATGTGCCATAATTATGGTACATTAGTTTTAGTACCTGTAATACCAGGTATTAACTTAATGCTCTGTAATTGGCACTACTGCGCAGTAGTGCTAGCTCATGTCTTTTAGGTGACATGAATGTGCAGTCAACTAATTCTACTGCGCATTAGCGTGTTAGTCTTAAGTAGAAGGCAAGGTAGAATTGCACCTTATAGACTAACCAAAGTAGCTATATAGCACAAGCTTTCATGAGCTTAAGCTCACAAAATCTTGTATTATATATCTATATCTATATCTACTTTGGTTATTCTGTAAGGTGCAACTCTATCCTGCCTTCAGGATTAAAAACTCCCAGAAGAGTAAGCAGAGCTGGAGGAAACACTGTGAGCAGAACAGCATGTTGCAAAAGGGGTGGGGGGTAGGCTTCTGTGTTAGGGCCAGAGCAAAAAGGGTTTCCCTCCTCATGTCCAGGACAGGACAGAAGGAGTTGATTTTGTTTGTTTGTTTAAAAGACTGTCCTTTCCTTGGGAGCACTGGCTGAGGAGCTCCTCAGGGAGCCCCACTTGCATGCTGTTACATACTGTAATGAAAACTGGTAACAATTACATTGAAATCAGTGGAATTACATCAGTTTAAAAATGGTTTGCATGAGATCTGGCCAACATGAAACATAAAGCTTTATGAAATAAAGGGCTGGGTACAGACAGTCAAAAAGCCCAAAGCTGAATTGATTCAGTCTAAATTGCATAAATTAAATTGAAACAGAAGTGAACAGACATTTACTTTTGATACAGAAAATACAGCCACATGTCTGCAGTGGCTCAGACCAGGGGGAGGTAGAGCATGGCTCTCTGGCTGTGTGTTCACGTCCTCTTCCTGCTACTCCTGAGGTCTCTGGGATTTGTAGTCCACAATCACAACAGCAGGACTCTGCAGGGTTGTTCATCACTTCCTCTTCCTGCTTCCAGGTGTCTCTGGGATTGTAGTCCACAGTTGCAGCCAGCAGTAAATTTGAGCTGGGGAAGGAGTGTTTAACACCCCTCCCTGGCCCCAGACCCCAGCCGGGGTTTGCCGGAGGTGGGGGCAGTCCTCCCCCCCACTGTAGACTGGGCTGCAACCCCAGCCAAGCTTGCCCCTCACCACTTCCTCTCAGCCAGCCCTCACTGCTCCAGCTAGGGAGCAGAGGGGCAGGGCCAGCCTTGCTCTCTGGAGCAAACAGCACAGCTCAGCTCAGGGCATGCAAAGCATGTAAAACTGTGATATAACTTGAACCAGGAAGGGGTCTGAGACAGAAGTTTCATAAACCAGTTTGACCCAAATCAGTCAAGTCTGATACTACATTCGGCCAGATTTATCTTAAACCAGTTTTGGCCATTTTGAAACTGGTTTATGTGCACTGAACTTGTGTTGTTACAGGTTTAAGCCAGATTCTGATCACTTAAACCAGTTTATGTATAACTTCTGTCCCTGACCCAGTAGATTTTTTGTGAGGAAAAAGGACTCCAGTGCAGTGATATGTTGCACATTTGAAAGGCTATTCACTAGATCTGTAGAAATAAAGTCTTTTGATCTCAATAACTGGAATTTTTGCTGCTGTTCTTAAGAAAGAAAGTAAAATCATCATCAGATAAAAGATGTTTCTGTGGAGTAGTTTATAGTTGATAAAACCTGGCCCCAGCAGCAGCAAAATCAGCTTTGCTTAATAAACTAATAAATATGTTTGAATGCCCTTCCTTGGTCTTACAAATAACTAGTGTTAAAATACGAGTAGAACTAAATAAAAATAACTATCTGAACAGAAATTCCCTGCAGAGGTCTCTAATCATGCTATGAAAGGTAATATTATAAATTATCAGTAATATTTCTTAAAATAAGTCTCTCTATCACCAGATAATGAAAATATATATACACACAGGGAATGTAGTAAAGAGAGAGCCATAAATGTAAATAAAGTATATATTTTCAATTTCAGGTTGTCTGTTGCCAAGATGGGGGTTGAATCCTGATCCCTTTGTACTTGATGGAAGTTTTGCGATTAACTTTAATGGGAATCTAGATTAGAAGGGAGCAACCTTATATAAGAAAGAGAAGATGCTCATGCATTCACTAATAGGGGTGAAATGGTATATGTTATTTTTTTTTTAAATGTGGGGAAGCTTTTTGAATTCACGCATACCACTTTGAAAGAAAAACACTATGCCATATAGGGCACATTCAGGCAAGTGTGCATGTGTGGTATGCAGTGTCACAGACCCTTCTGCTGTGCTGCACACCACACATGCCATGCATGCAGGCATTCCCTGCACTGCTAATTTGCAGCATGGGGGTGGGCGATGAAGGGGTTGACACTGGGAGATCCTGGTGTCAAAAAACCTTGTACCTAAATAAAGCGTGTTGGTGCATGTGGTGGCAGTGTGTGCTGCCCGAAACCAGAGCCTGGCCAGCCAAAGCCATGTTCCGGCTGCCAGTCAGACACCCTGCTGCCAGATTGCCGCAGCTGCAGTCCCCAGAAGTCCCCACGATCCCAGGTAAGACTCGCAGGGCCAGGCCAGGTGCTGGCTCCAACCTCCTCTACTTGACCTGGGACAACATGCTGCATGCCAGAGGGCATTCCCTGGGCACAAGTAGCAGTGGCACATGCCTGAGGAAGTGCCTTTGTTCCTGAGGAAATGCACATTCCCACTTGTGGGGATGCACCCATTATGTTCATTTATAAAAAAGCTGATGGTATCTCTTTTTTTACTGTTAGCTAATTGACTCATGGATGTATTTGCTAACACCATGTCTCAGAAACACATGCTAGCTGCTCTACTTTTTTCTGTCAGTTTTTCACTGCTTCTGGTCAATTTACTACCAAGGCATGATACAAAACTAAAATGACAATACTGTGGCATAGATAAAGGAGAAAGCTTAGCAGTTTAAAGGCCACTGCATAGGGTGTGATTTTCTGTTCATGTCACATCTGGTTCAGCA